TTCCGGTTGGCAAGGACTCCATGTCGATGTCTATGAAGTGGCGTGAGGGAGAGGAGCAGAAGGAGGTCAGCTCCCCTCTTTCGTTGATCATCACTGCGTTTGCCCCTGTGAAGGATGTCCGCACAACCTGGACTCCTCAGTTGCGCAAGGACATTGATAAACCCACCAGCCTCGTCTTCTTCGACCTGGCCAAGGGGAAGGAACGATTGGGAGGTTCTGCTCTCGCCCAAGTTTTCAAGGAGATCGGTTCTGAAGCGCCTGATGTTGAGAACCCCGCTGTGCTGAAGGCCTTCTTCCAAGGCTGCCAACAGATCAAAGCCAGCGATCCTGACCTCGTCCTTGCGTATCATGATCGATCTGATGGTGGTCTGTTCACTACAATCGCGGAGATGTGCTTTGCTGGCCGTGTCGGGGCTGAGATATCTCTTGACGCACTCCACTCTGACTCCAACCCCATTCCAACCTTGTTCAATGAGGAACTTGGGGCAGTTGTTCAGGTCCGCCAGTCGCATCTTCCGCGCCTTATGACCGTGTACAGCAATGCTGGTTTCCCGTCCACGTCCATCCACGTCATTGGCCGCGTCACTGATGAGCAGACTATCACCATCAACCACAAAGGCAACACCCTGTACGTCGGTGAACGTGCCGGGTTGCAAAAGATATGGGCGGAGACATCTTTCAGGATGCAATCCCTCCGTGACAATCCTATCGCCGCACAGGAAGAGTTCGACCTCATCCAAGATAACTCTCACACTGGCCTCTTCTATGACCTCAAGTACTCCAACACACCTTTACCTTTATACACCTCTCGTCCAAAGGTTGCCATCCTTCGTGAGCAAGGTGTCAACGGCCATGTCGAGATGGCTTGGGCGTTCACAGAAGCAGGCTTTGACGCAATTGACGTGCACATGTCTGATATCCTCAGTGGTAACGTCAGTTTGGTCGATTTCCGAGGATTGGTCGCTTGTGGTGGGTTCTCCTACGGTGACGTGCTGGGCGCAGGCAAGGGGTGGGCCAACTCTGCGCTTCTGAACGACACCGCTCGCCAGGAGTTCAAGGAGTTCTTCGCGCGAGAGACCACGTTCGCCTTGGGCGTGTGTAATGGCTGCCAGTTCCTGAGCCATCTCCGCGAACTTATACCTGGAGCGGAGGACTGGCCCGAGTTCAAGCCCAATAGAAGTGAGCGTTTCGAAGGCCGGGTATCTATGGTGGAGATCGTGGAAAGTGAGGCGACAAAAGCGTCCGTCTTCCTGTCGGACATGGTGGGCTCGAAGCTGCCAGTGGCCGTTGCACACGGAGAGGGAAGAGCCTCATTTATGAGTGACAGTCAACAAAAAGCTTTGGAGTCGAAAGGATTGGTGGCTATCCGTTATGTTGATTCGAACGGCCTCCCCACGGAGCTGTACCCGTTGAACCCGAACGGCAGTCCAGCTGGGATTAATGGCGTTCAGACGCCAAATGGTCGCATCTTAGCACTGATGCCGCATCCAGAGCGAGTTGCAGCCCTGGAGAGTAACAGTTGGTATCCCGACAACCTCGTCGGAACGTGGAAGGGCGTAGGCCCTTGGTTTAGGCTGTCCAGAATGCG